CCATTTTTTTAACTCATTTTTGAATATGTACACAATTCGTTTATAAATAATATAGAGTAAGTTGTAAAACGTTGTCCCAGTCGCCAACGTTGTCCCGCTTAGAATATTCTCTTTTGTGTGGAATCATTCTACGATATATTCAATAACCGTCATTGTAAAAACAACAAAAATGTTTTTAATTTTGTTTTTATTTTAAATTATTTTTTTTTCGAAACATTACAAAAACTTAGAAAATAATCATTAACTTATTTAGTTCTCTTTTCCTTCTTTTCAGAAGAGCAATCCAAAAACCCCTTTAAAATGACGCACATAAGAAATGGGTCAGTCAAGTGTGTGTAGTCACTTCAAACACTTTTAGTAGAATTAACATGCATGTCATAATAAGTTAGACGAACTGAATGTTAGTTAAACTGAATGTTTCAAACACACAAAATGAAAAAATAAACATTTGGATGTTAATGTGCATAAAACAAACCTCTAGCACCATAGTTGCAACGAATATTGAAGAAATGTATATACCTGAAGAGCGCAATTCCTATAACGTAAGTCAATGGTTGATTCGATATTAAACAGACCTTGTATTTTTTATCTGAAGAATCAGTTAAACCCTTAGAGTTTTTTTTAGGTTAATTATAAGTATAGTTTTAAAGTTATAATAATATAGATTATATTATGTGTAATTATTTAACTATAAAACTATACTACCATATACAATAATTAACATATAAAATAAATTAACACATTTTAACTAACGAAAAACTACTTTGAATAATCATCATAAAATTATAAAAAAAGAGTTTTTAATTATCTTTTACTCGTTGATTTTTCAAACTAAAGAGCAAACAAAATATCACTCGTAAACAATTGTTTTGTTGAACTGGAGCAATTTAACTCTTTTCCTTTTAAACAAAATCATTCCACACTTGGTTTCTAATTGCGAGTTGGCACAATCTCTTGCGTTTTTTCTTAAAGTTTTGTATATTTCCTTTTTGACATTGTCGATATTATCGCCTTCTTCATTTGACATCTCATTCATACATCTGTCAATTTCTTGCTGCTCGAAAAAGCAATTCAGCTTCGTGCATGAAGATGGCACCACTTCACATACTGTACTCAAGTTTTGAAGTAGTCTCGGTACTAACCCGCATGCAATAAAGGAAGACACCACATTCTTTGATGTGGTCACTCTTTCCCACGAATGACAATCGACATAATTTGTACAGATATATAGGAAAGGTGACCGTATGTGTCATTCATCAACGATTTATCAGTTGTACATGCCCGTTTCTGATTTCCAAATATCCCCACATCACACATTTGCAACAAATGAGATGAGTGTGTGGGGAGTAGTATTAT